CAGTGGGGGAATTTTATTAATGTAAAGGTGTATCCTCATTAATGATTTACAGTCTCTCATTACTACTATGAATATTTGTTTACTACATTGCCTAATCCATTAATATATGCTGTTGCTTTCTTGAGGAACTCTCTGTTAATGGCCCCAATGAACATTTTTTCAGATGGGTTACTCACTGTTATAATTTTCATAGCAAATTTCTTTTTTGGTATAGTACAGTATTCAGCTGGCACTTCTTGCATTTTCACACATATTCCTCTCTTTCTGTTTTCATGTTTTGCCAATAATAATGCTGTTTTATTGCCACATCAATTTTATTCATGCCACGATGATCTCCAAGGACTAAATTGTGGCTGTGGTACAAAAATTTGCCTTTCATGACCTTACTGTTTCCTCTTTTTCGTTCATAATCTCATCTATTTCCTAATTTTTATCTCTTCCTTAGTTGAGGACACCTATTCTAAACAGCATATTGGCATTAGTATTTTGGACTCCGGGTTTGTACACTGTCTCATAGTCGCCCTTGAGCTGGATCCACCATCTTAATCTTGAATCAGTTTTTTTCACACTTATAATCCAAGTCAGAGGTTTGTGATTATCCATGACCTTGAATCTCCTACCACACAAGTATGGTATGAAGTACTTAATTCCCCAAACAGTTGCTGTTAATCCTCGGTCTACTGTTGTGTAATTGTTTTCCTGTGCACCGTGTGATCCTGACAAATGTTTTGTCTATATTACTGCGATGTGATGGTACTCCTTAGCCAAAATGCTTTGCTTGCCCCAGTTGATGTTCTGAAGTTTCTGATATGCAGCAGTGGGTGTGCATCTCCAACTTTTTTCTCATTTTGCTTCTGATAATTAACCACAAGTCGGAACTTTCGCTTCCCGCTACCATCCATCTTTTTAGCAACTATCAGAATTGGACAGTTCCATGGTGAAATACTTCTTCAGTGATCCCGTTCATTAACATCTTCTCTGCCTATTTTTTTACCTCAAATTTTTGTGATTCTGATAACCTACAAGGTCTGGTATTTATAGTATCAGTCCCCGGTTCATTACGTATCGAGTGCAGAGTTGTCCCTGCGCTACTCGATGGATCTCCTGGCAGTAGAAAATATTCTGAAAATCGAGACACATCTCAACTGATCTAGTCTACCTCTTCAAGGATTATCCTTTTGGTTTGTTTTGACTGCACAATTTACGTGCCACATAGGATCAGTCTCATCTAGCTCCACGATTGATGCCTATATTTCTACCTCAATCTCATTTGTATTTAAGATGCTAGTCGTCACATAACTATCGCCTAATTTAGTCAGATTCTGCTAGAAAAATACCATCTTGGATTTCCTGCTTATGCGCAAGTGATGCTGCCTTTACAGGCAGTTTCACAACTCTTTCTGACCTCCTTAGTATCTTTATTTCCTGAGACTTGTATAACTTTATTGACACCCTGTGCCACTTTTTTTTGAATAGAGATAAGTAGCTGATTTTTCTGGGATTGTCTGTTAAACATTAACTTTTTTTTTACATTTACCATTTTTATTTCTGTGATACTTGACACTGTTTTCTCTTTGGACAACCCCAGTGATTAATTTTTTTAAATAAAAATATTAGTGCTCCCAGGGTTCTTTCCCCAAGAGATAATGTCTTTTGTATTTTTTTTTTCTTTATAATGTTCTCTTTGGGACAAACATACCATTGTATAAGTTTCTTGGACACCAGTATGAACAGGTTGATAATTTTCTCAGGTTTGCCTCTGCAACAAGAATATTTCTTGTAATGTTTTTTTATAACATGTTTCTTAGAAATAGTGGGACATGCAGTCAACTTATTTGTTTGCTTGGTGATTTTCATGCATGTTGCAGCCGTCCACTTTCCCAATTATACCCAGTTTTCCCCTACTGCTGACAGTTCATATTTTATTCCTGCCTTTGCATCTCTCATGTTGCTCACTTCTTATGCTAAATAATAAATGTAACTACTGATTTGATGAATTAACTAATACACTGATAAATCTGAGGGGTTTCTAGGAAAAACTACATTAGTGCAAAACTGCTTCCTCTTAAACCTCCAGTTAGATGCCTGATGCTTGCTGGTATATCAGTAGAGCTACTTATTTAGCGTGGGTAGTTTTTCTTAAACGTTCAAATACAGTTTGCATTGTTGTGAAATATAGCGTACAAATTGAAATGTATAGTGTTGAACAGTGTTCTTCACAGAGGAAATGACAGAATGTTTTGTAGGAAATGAAAATATGTAGTTATTTTGATATTATATAATATTAACAACTTATTGTAAATTTTAACATTTAAGGCGTTATTTATTATTCTGCTAACAAATACAGCAATAGTTTTATTATCACGTTAGTTCACTTTCTTCCCGCAACACTTGATAATTGGTCCCGAATCCTTCCCATTCCATCCAGTAATGTATCGAGTGTTGGGCGTGTCAGCTCAACTGTAACAGTAGACACTGATGGTTGTTCACTGACTTTGGTTTCATTCTCCTGTACCTGCACAAACAAAACCACAAAGACTACACGAAAGGAACTGTAAGAGGTCTTCCTAGTAGATTTCTTGTTTGCCAAATAGAAAGGTCGCTTTATAACATGACATTGTGGCCTGCTAAATTTTCTGCCGTTATTTTCTTGTGTTGACATTGGCTTTCATACACATAGTTACAGTGAATTTTAAATAGAACATGTAAAATTAAAATAGTATTAGTTCTAAACAATAATAAGTGCCACTGCCTACACGCTTGAAACTTTTGTAAATGCGGATATGTACACCAGTGGTCCCCAACGCAGTGCCCGCGGGCGCCAAGGCTTTTTTTGGGTGCCCACGTTGTTATGGAAAGAGGTTATACTGAATAATGAAGGCCATTCAACCACGAACATTGTAAAATCAAAGCGCACAGCTTGACTTACTAATGACCATCTTGACGATTGTTTGTGAGCAGCAACATCATCCTACACTCCCAAATTTGAAAAACTGGCCGATGAAATGCAGTGCCAAACATCATACTAACTTCCCACTTGAGTAATAATAATTGTACTTATAAAACTACGTATTTTTGATTGCATGTTTTCTTGTATCATTAAATGTCGTATTGTTTTGTGTATTATTTGGTGTCCATATCTTATTTGTCCAGAGAAAAGAAAATTTGGCTTTGTTAATTGGTTAGTGCCCACCACAATCTCATAAACTCTCAAATGTGCCCGTAGGCATAAAAAGGTTGGGGACCACTGATGTAAACTGTGTCATAGCAGGCAAATTCCCAGTAATGATCTGTGATTTTTTGTTGATTTGGCAGCATCATAGCAGTGCCTTACAACTTCCCGTCCATTGATACTTAACAACTGCTTCATGTTCCACAGCAAGCAAAATTTAAATTGTTTTATTAACTTTTGCCAACATGTAGAAACACCGTCTGTGACTACGTGTCCATTGAATTGGAATAGTGTGTCAGAATGCTGTGTAGTCTGGTAACATTTCAGAGGTACTTGCTGCCTCTATGACCCTGATGATGGAGGCAGTGAGGATCTCTGAACATTGATAAACTTGTATCAGACCACAAGGCACTACAGCCTAGAAGACAGACAAGAATTTGTGAAATTGTTCAGTTGCCCAAATAAAATCAAGGCTGAATCAACAGAACATTCTTTATTCAACAACAAATCTTACTTGGCAAAGGTATGGGACTTGAAATAAACATGAATGTGTTATGGGCATAGTTAATTTTATTTGGTTATGTGGACTAAACCACAAACAGTTCCAGGCATTCCTTCATGGAGTCAAGAACAAATATGGTGATACTGTGTAATAAAGTTTGCTTGCTTAGTGTTGATAAGGTCTGGTAATGATTCTTATCATTATTCAAGGTTTTTGTCATTAAAAAGGATGATCCATTAGTCTGAATGCAAATTGGATTTTTTAATGAACTAAATATCAAAGACCGAGAAAACTGCAAATTTATAGCTGAACTTTACGACAATGTAATATATTTACAAATTAAATCATAATTATTTCATAACATCTTTTGAATAACATAACTTGTCTACTTTCCAAACTAGCAGAAAATATTTAATCTGTAAAAGACAAGCAATAGTAAGTGTGTCGGTTGCATCGAACAATTCGAGCAGTAATTTACACACACATTTTTAGACTTTGGTTAGGTTTACCTAACCTTATTCAGCATGATGTCTAGTTTACAGTTTGAATGTATCTACTTTCAGCGTATTGCCAAACATCAAAATTCAAAGAAGATTTACTTCCTGAAGATATGAATATGTTTGTCTGCAGCGGAAGGCAACTAACTGTTTATGTTTTTAAGATGAATTTACATTTGTGAAGTTTTTCATTGATGAGTTTAAAAAATCAACACAGTGTAACCTATTGACATGAAAATCTCACTCTGATCATGTGAATGAACACAGACATCACATCAGGTATCAAACGCATGTCG